ACCCCAGCCAGATGCCCATCCAAACCTCCTCTTGAAGACCCCCAGGGTAGGGGAGAGCACCACCTCCCTTGGGAGAGAGCAAGTTGAATGTAATCTAGTAGAAAGTAAACGACTATTATAAACATAATGCTGCAGTACAGAAGAAAAACCCCCACAAATCACATACTGCTGGTTATGACATATCACCCCTCCCTTGAACCTGTATGGAAAATCCTCAAAAAATTGCAACCCATACTAGACAGAGACCCTATTCTTAAAAAGATCTTCCCAGAGCCACCCATCCTAGCCTTCAGACAAGCACCAAACCTCGCCAACCTCATCACCACAGGATCCCAGGATCTTACAGCTGCACCTCCAGGAATGTAGTATACCTCATCCAGTGCACCAAATGCCCTGATGGAAGATATGTAGGAGAGACCAGACAACAACTGCGCACCAGAATGAACGTACACTGGAAATCTATCAAAGACAGAAATACCCAATTACCAATGGGGGCACATTTCTCACAGGAGGGCCACTCTCTCTCCAATCTCTCAGTCCTGATCCTCAAGGGAAACTTACACAACACTTCCCAGAGATGAGCCTATGAGCTCCATTTCATCAACCTCCTGGATACTAGAGATCATGGACTAAACATAGACATTGGATTTTTGACACATTATAATCTGCCTGGCATCTGACTCCCCAGCCCAGCCGCTGGCTTCTTTACTTTTCATTCCATCCAGGAAGAGCACACACCAACTGCTGCAGCTTCCTGAGCCTGACGAAGGGTTTTTGAACCCGAAAGCTTGCTTAATAACTATTCTCCAACGATTTGGGTTGGTCTGATAAAAGATATCAAATTCACCCAAGGAACCTTGTCACTCTATTATAAACATAAGAACGTATTTCAACTCTTAACATATTTTTAATCATACAGCCTGCAACAATTGCTATGTCTCTGTAAGAATAATGATTCTTATTCATTAGTAAGCTAAATCACTAAATCATGCCAAGTATGGCATTTCCTTTGATGTTTTATAACTACTGTATGGTAGTAAGCCATATAGTATCCCCCTTTATCACAACACAGTGGATGGCAGGGCAATTCTAATAGGCAAACCTATTAGATGTTCATCTCTAACCTCAAACTACTCTGTTTTGCATCATGAAAGGCCAGAAAGGAAAAGCAGACAAAAATATATATTTTTAATGCATTATCCCTCCCTTCTCCAAGATAAGGAAAAAAGGCGAGGACTCCTTACTGACCAACAGAACAGAAAACAAAGCCCCAAAACAAGGAACTGAACATTCCCTATTTTGTCTTAAGTTTCACGAATCCTCAAATTATGCTATTTATAAGGAACTTGGTTTTTTCTAATGTACTGCACCATAGAGTTATGATCGTGAACCAATACTGTCATATATGAAACAGGGTGAGCTAAATTCACCAAATGTCAGTAATTATTTTTTTATTTCATAGTACTTGGATGCCCCAGCTGAGGTTAGGGGCCTATTGCGCTAGGTACTGTACAGGCGTATCGTGAGAAACAGTCCTTGTCCCACAGAGATTACCAATCCAGAGAGTAACAGAAAGGAAGTTTTATCCCTGCTCCATAGACGGAGAAATGAGTTAAGCAGATGTGCCTCACAGTCACACAGGAAGTCCACGGCATCACTTGAAACAGAAAGGGCCTTACTCTGATGCTTTAACCACAAACTTGTGCTTCCTCTCAGTGTCCTCTAACTCTTCAGTCCCTCTGCAGGAAAATCAGTCAATCCATCAAGCCAATAATTCACCTGTTAAGAGTTATTATCTCTTACCTGCCATCACTCCATAGGTAGCCTGTTGGTTTCCATAATGACAAGAAGGGACTGAATAATGAAGACCTGCCGGTGTGTTTCCCAAAGTCGTCATGGAGAAGCATAAATGGGAAGATTTAGGAGTTTGGATCAAAGACAAAACAGACGGGACTGGTAAGAAAATATATAAGGATTCGAGACACATCTGTTCAGTCCAGAGATTTAAGTATATGCATTATATTTTATTTCCTTCTGCATACTAACAATTTATAGTGATTCTTAACTATCAAGATACAGTATACCTTCATAAATCTGAATATCAAATATCCAGAATTCTCAAAAATCTGGCACTTTTTAAAACTACACTAGATTGGGGAGCAGTGGAGCAGGGAGCTTGCACTTGACGGCTGTTGTTGCCATCCACCACCCCATGCTGACGATCTGCGTGTGGTCTCTGCTCCAAGACCGCCACCCACTCTGGGACCGGCTGCCCCTCTGCTTTAAAAAATCCAGAGTTTTCAAATTTCTGGCAGGGGCTTGGCCCTAAAAATGCCGGATTCATAAGGTTATACTGTAATTCTCCCTAAGCATGCCGGATTCATAAGGTTATACTGTAATTCTGTTGGAAGCCTAAGGTAACTCATCAAATGTCTCAGAAGATTAGACAGCCAGATAGAAAACTGGAATAACCACTTTTTTCCCCAAGAACAATGATTTATCATGCCAAATTGTTAATATACTGAAAGATGTAGACCCACACCAATTGAAAGAAAAAAATGAATACTACTGTATGTGTAAGGAGATCAGGTTCCCGATACCTATATTTTCAAGACAAGCAATCTGGGATGCTCAACTTGAGACACCTTAAAAGGCCCTGTTTTTGGAAGCCTGGGGCAGTTTGCAGGGATCCTCTAAAACCAGCCCCTCAAATGTGTTTCATGATAGACAGGAAAGAGAAAGCAAGATACCCCCAATCATTGCCATAGCTGGTTTTGAACATAAGGCCTAAAGAAACATTTGCAATTGCAGCAGCACCTCTACATACAATGCATTGAATCAGAGTCCTCACAAGTGGCAGAAATGCATTTTAGGTACTCTACAGGGACCCTGCAGCAGCTGATATGAGTTGAGGGGAGCGTCTATGTGATGTTGAACAAGGCTAAAGTTGAACAGGTTTTTCTATGCTTATACAGCTACAGAGTTAAGCAGGTGTAATAGGTACATCGTAATAGCTTTTATCAGTATCCATTGATAGCAAGGGACTTGTTACCTCTGTCTATACCCTTCTGAGAGCTGAAAAGGAACAAAAAGCAGGACCTACAGTTTGCTATTACTAGGAAGGACCATGGCTCTCCAGTAACAAACATATTGGTTTCTTGGGGCAACGTTTTCACTGATAAGATAGTCTTCAAACTTCTTGGTATTCCTAGTTATTGAGGGGTTTTGGCCACCTTCTGAAAGGAAAATATAAATAGCCTGGGCTGGCTCTAATCTCTGCTTTCAGTGCCATCCATCCCAAAAATCTCCTATGCGTTTCTGCATGAAAAAAGCTGGTTGTTATTGCTTCTTTTGTGTATTAAAGATATACACATAGATGGAAAACTGCATCCAGGAATATGAAAATATTGTCTACTTTTTAGTTACCCTAGAGAATAAACATAAATTATAAAGTAAATGGAGCTGTTTTTCTGTGCCTGAAGGTTTCTCTATGTAACAAAGACCCTTGGCTACTCTATCAGTGAATCAGAATGCATCAACAGGAGGAAGTACATTGCTTTCTGAAGAAATGTTCAGAGGGCCAGATCTTCAGCTAAGGATCTGGTCCATAACATTTTAGATCATGTAAATGTGTTGTTATTTAAAGAATACACCGCAATTTGATACATACATTTCTGGCTATGGGCCCTACTAATAGAAATAAAGACTAATGATTACCAAAATTCTGGTTCTTAGAACTACGTATTAGTGATGTATATCTACATTGCATACTGACATAATTATGTGTTAGGGATGTAATTATTTCAACCAATGTATTTATAATGTTTCACCCATTAGTATTAATGAAATCTGATTAATAAAAATATACCAATAAAAGGTTATAGCACTATATAAGTATTTACACTATACTTCTTGTATATACTACTAGTATATATCACGTTATACTATTTATACTTCTCAAACAATACAGGGAGAGTGAGTTAGAGCTGTAGTGTTAAAGTGATAGTTAGCACAGGTTTTTTAATTTTTTGTACGTTATTAAACCGTTCCAGTTATCAGTTTGCTAATTCACACACTTCATCATTTTCTGCCATAAAAAAATGGCCTTTCCAGCTTCCTAAAGATCATATAAGAATTGGTGCTGGAAAAGTATTCCATCATCAAAACTTTATATTTAAATTAAATATAGTATAGAACACTTATCTGTGTGCTTTGATTATTACTGTAACTGAAGTATACTTACCTACATTTTAGGATTCTTTTTGTGCATTAAATTAGACAATTATAAAAAATTAACACATTTTCAAAATTCAATAATATGCAATAGATATATGGAGGCTATAAACACTGTGAAAGCTTTTGACAGTTAAAAAATAAGGCAAAATTATATGTAAATATCTTCATACATTTCATTATTTGGACAAGTTCTTTACATGTTCTCACCATAGTAGCACTGTTCGCATTGTCTATTATAAGTCTTGCAACCTATATTTAAAATTGAGAACATTTTCACCATCACAGGTAAATGTTTTCTATTACTGCTCAGTTTGTTATAAGGCCATATTCTGGCTTTTTTATTGCATTAGTCTTCATAGCAAAAAAACCCAGCAACTCCTGATCCTGCAGTCCTATTTCAGACAAAATTCCCATTGGCTACAATTGAATTTGGGCTTGTATAATGACTGAGATTCGGCCTATGACTATTAAAAGCACAGACACAAACCTAAATCATGTAAATACACGTAAACATACACAAAACTATTAGTAACATTTTCTGCCAACATGTGTTTAATTACTTACCATGAAGCATATGAAAAAAAAAATCGATTTAGAAAATGCTGCCATGGAATTATTACCAAACTTTAGCTTCTTGTTCATATTTTAAAGAATAATTATGCCCCTAACACTTTGCTACATTATTCTCTTATTAAGACTTGCAATTTTAGTCTACAGTGCTTAATATGGTGGTTCATTTTTATATTCTTATTGAAGGGTTTTTGTTTCAAGCATGCTTAATGAGAAATCATTTTATTGAACGCTCAAAGTACAACTCTTACCTCAGTACAACATTAATTGAGTCAATAATATAATTAAGATTAATATTCAATTCTTTATTTCTGGAGAACATTAATATTCCAGTGATAAAAATTCAGGTTCTGTACATCTTGAGATTACAAGTAATTTTCCTGTCTATTAAGTAAGATTTGATTCTTGAGTAGTTTTCATTTATAAACTTTTATTACTCACATTGAAATTTGTAGTTAGATAAACGTACATGCTAAGATAAGGAATGGAACTTGTGCTCTAAGTTACTTAGGCATTTCCAAAAATCCTTTCAATATTTAGATTCAGATCAGACCAAAAAGAATTTAAAAAGGAACGTTAAAGAGACTATTGTTCTGATTATAATAAATAAATAAATAATAAATAAGTACCTGTAGACACGACATTAGTGGCATGGCTGGAGACTGGCAAGCACTCTGCAGCACTATGATGCATCATCAGTGGCAGAGCAGCAGAAGAGTCCGAATTCAAGGGTACAAAGGTGTCAGATGAAGTAAATGCTTGACAACTCATTCCCACAGAAGGAGAAAACACAAAGAAAACCCTTCTCCTATTTTCTAACACAATATATCCTGAGTGATTAAGAGCTGCTCAAACTCTATTTCAGTTCTTTTTTACTTGCATATATACATAAACAAGGGCTCCAGAGCACAGGGAGGTCGTGTGCAGGTATTTATACCACTAGGAAATCCCTTTATCCATTTTAATATTCTTTCCCCAGCAGTATTGCTATATCAGCATAGAGCCTCCTTCCTTCCCACCCAAATACAATAGATGCCCAATTAATGGTGGGAGAAAAGGGAAACCGGAGATGTGATTTGACAGATACTTTAAATGAAGCCTTTTGTGAAAGAACAATAAATCAGAAAAAAATAGTCTCTCCCAAGTTTGTAGGAGTGAGACAGGTACAGTTAATGCTAAGGAGCTTTCCAAAGCTAACACCTGCCCCAAAAATCTCATACTGGCAATTGTTTTGAAGGCAATTTGGCTGAGAACTCAAATAGGAGTCTATGAAAGTCCCGAATTTATAGAGAAGTAATTGATATTTATCTAATGTCAGTTGTGAAACCTCTTGTCTTTTGACTTGTTTTGATTGAATAAATCAGAAACACACATCACAAAGTAAGCATTTCTGGAACAGAAAGCTTTATATAAGCATTAACTGCTAAATGTTTGTGTAAGATCTATTATATTCATTAACCCCCCCACACACTTGCATCATAAAGTCCTGAAAGAAAACAACGTACACACACTATATACGTAAGCAAAATATAATTTGGTTTATTTCAGTTAATATTTGTTACTGAAGAGTACTGGGTCTTTACAAAAATATGAGGGTATTTTGATTATAAAAATATTGTATATAAAAATAGTGTGCACATGTGTGCATGTGTGCGTGTAAATTATTTGCATTACCATAGCACCTAGGAGCCCTAGTCAAACACCAGAACTTGACAGTGCTAAATGTTTATTACAAGGCAGAGCAAAATGAAAGTCCCTGCTCCAAAGAGTTTAAAATGTAGGTGTTTTATTGGCTGCATTACTTAGGAATAAGAAAACACCCAGACAGGTATGGAGGTCATCCCCAAAAAGGTGGAAAAAATCCTTGTAACGCACCATACAATTATGCATTCTGTATATGCCACATATTTGAAGGCAAAATATTTAAATAATGCAGCCATGCCAATTTAAAATAGCTGAGTATTTGGTCTCATATCCAAATATACAAGGTTCCAAGAGGTATCAAAACTCCTCAGGAAATATATATATATTTATCATAAAATGTGTTCTTGAAACATCCTCCGAGGCAGGACTAAGCAAGTATTGGGCTCCATTAAGAAGCTAGTAAGCTCTTTTGCTTGACATCATAAAAATTCTGTTTGTAGTTCTGCATTCCCAATATCTGATTCTTTTTTAAAGTACATTTTGTTAAAAATTTTAAGAAAAAAATTCTTAACATTTTCTTAAATGTTCTTAAAATCACACATATAATTTCTATTTATTTACAGCGTTTTAAGAAGTAGATATGGTTGTCTATGATTCTTCATCTTGTTTTTCATCCATAATTCAATATACTTTCTGTGCAGCTTTCTCCAAGAATCATATTTGAGATCTATGTGAAATGTGGATGATTGCATATTATTTAATATTCACAGTTAACTCAGAGGTCAGAATTAAGAGTTTATACCCTTGATTCAAGGTGTGCCATATTCCTGTGATCCAGATGTGATACCTTCACAGGGATCTATTTGAAAGAGTTATATTTAGTCAATTAACTAATCTGAAGAACCTTTGAATTGCCTCTTTGGGGGGCACCATTAAGGATTTACAGCAGGTACCAATTTTATGTTTGTATGTACTAAATGTCTCATCATCTTTTTAGTGTTAAGACATTTCCAAAGAATTACAGTAAGTGGACAAGTATGAATGAGATTGAAATGAGGTAGACCATCATATCCATAATTACTTCTTGAGCATAAGTTCACATGTTGCAATAAATGCTGAAACTTTAGGAATAAACATTACAATACTATGGAAAATACTTAAAATGAATGTATTGCCATCATTTAAGTTTTGACTGAACTTGTATTAGTCAGTGGAAATTTTACCCTTGACTAATTAAAGATGGATCAGGAATGTATGCATTAAAAAAAAAATTCTATGAATTTCAAATTTCCTTGATCTACACAGATTCAGGATCAGATGCAGAGATATAAATTAATTCTGTTTACAAGGTCTTAAAACCTACCAGGGTCTCAACAGCCTGCAGATGGAATGCCTGTTAGATGACACAAGGCAGAATATTTAGCTTTTCACTGGGCACATCTACATGTGCACATGCTGCTGGATGGGTTTACCCTGAAGTCATTTACTCTGGAGTAAACCCATCCTGGGCAGGTGTCTACATGTGTGGGCAATTGGGAGCAGATTTGCTGCTCCTGGTTGCAGTCTGTTCCCACCCTCTCTGGCCCTGCACTGGCCCCTTGAAGCATCCAGGGGGAGCTGGAGGCTCCACTCACAGCTGCCTGTGGCCAGTGGCCATCTTTAAAAGCCAGCCCTGGTCCCTGCTCACCTGCCTTCCTGTCCCACAGCAGCCTGAAGAGACCTGTGCCAGCATGCTGCAGCTCTGTCACCAGAGCCTGTGCCCACCATATGTTGGCTGCTTCATCCCCATGCCCTGAGAGTGATGTCCAGTGCCCCAGGCTCCTGCTTGACACCCTGGCTGTTGCCCTGCTTTACCACTGCACCAACTGCTGCTTGGCTAAGGATAGTCTTGGCCCTGCCTGCTCCCCTGCACAGCACAGCTGCATGGCCAGGTTCATCATGGCATGCAAGGTTCCCTGTCACCACACTGCTGCCACCTAGGCCCCATGCTGTTACCCGGACCTGAGCAGGGATGTCAAAGAGGTGCACCTGGATGCCACCACTGGTGCTGTCTATGAACCCCTGGGGCTCCAGCCTTGCCATCTGTGGGCCTGCCTAACCAGCCAGGACTGGTGGCTGCATGTCATCCAGCACACCTGGGACAACGAGCAGTAGCTGGAGTCATTCTAGATGTCCAACACTTTCCAGGAGCTCCTTGAGCTCATCTGCCCATGCCTGGAGTGGCAGGCCACCACCAGGCGGTGGCCCTTCCCCATGGACACCTGACTGGCCATTGCCCTGCCCAAGCTGGCCACACCCCCAGCCTGCACTACATCAGCCACCTCTTCGGCATGGGCAAGGTGACTGCTGGGGAGACTGTTCTGGAGGTGTGCAGCATGACCCCCTGGAGATGGTGGCAGAGTTCCATACTATGGACTTCCCCTGTGCATCAGGGCCCTGGATGGGACCCACATCCTCATCAGCTGCCTGCTCTGTGGTGCCTGTCCCTGCTACAATCAGTGGGGCTCTCACTCCATCCTGCTCTAGGCAGTCATTGACCACCATGGTGCCTTCACCAATGTGAGTGCTAGTTGGACGGGCAGTGACCACGATGCCCACGTCTTTAGCAAGTCCACCCTGACAGCCTTGATGGAGAGCAGGCACTTCATGCTGGGGGTGACAGACCTCCAGCTGGGCACAGTGGTGGTGCTACCCCTCCTCATCAGGGGCCCTGCTTATCCGCTTCACCTTTGCCTCATGCAGCCCTATACTGGTCAGCTGAACCTCTGCCAGGCACACTTCAACAGGTACATGAACCGGACCCATGTGCTGGTGGAGTGCACCTTTGGCAACCTGAAGGGATGCTGGTGCATCCTCACTGCCCGCCTTAAGATCGTGGAAGCCAACATCCTCTGGGTCATTGTTGCAGCCTGTGTACTGCATAATACCTGCGAGGGCCAGGGGGAGTTGTTTCACAAGGCCTGGGTGGAGGAAGTACAGTGGGCAGAGAACACCTGGTACTGGGAGTGCCAGCTGCCATGGCAGTGACAGCAGCAGGGCCCCCCACTGAGACCCTGAATGAACCACCCACTCAGCAGTGGGGGCCAGGGTACCAGGTGCAAGAAGCCCTAGCTGACCACTTCCTCCTGCACTCCCCACTCCAGGCCACCTGGATGGCCAGCCAAGGACCCCTGCCCCACCATGCCCACCATGTTCACTGCAAGACAGTTCTCAGAAAAGCACTTTGTTCCCCTCCACAAACACAGACTGCCCCCTCTCCCTCCCTCCCCAACAGCAGAGCCCTTCTCTCCTCCCTTTCCCATACCAGACCCTGCCCCCCACCCCCCCAAGAGAGGCCAGCTCAGCATCTACACGTGCATTACTGTGCAGTAACTACTTGGGAGCTAATTTGCTACTTGTATTTGCAGGTAGCAAATTAACTCCTGAATAGAGCAATTTACTGCACAGTAAGCATCTGTATGTGTAGACAGTGAGACTTAAACTGCTTAGTAATTTGATCTACTTTGCAGTAAAGTGTCTCATGTAGATATGCCCACGGTTCATCAGTGGATAGAAAACATTTTGGCCAATCAACATTGTAACAATCAGAATAAGTAAGGTGCCAAAATATTGTATGGGTTACTGAATATTTATTTTTTGTCGTCATTTAGCATAAATTGTTTGAACTCTTGCAGCTCTTTCTAAAAGTCATGTAAAGAATAAAGGGGTTTTTGGTGTGTTTTTTTCACTACACAGCAATTTATTCTATTAACTGAAAGGCCAAATGTTTAGGCCCTAGAAGGATAGACTTCAAGGAGAGCATGGGTCTATAATCCAAGGCTAGGTCTGCACCTCTCACTGTGGTTCAGTAAGCATTCAGAGGTATGGAGTCTGCCACACATCTGTTTTGTTCAGCATTTGGGTTCTGATCTATCAGTACATGAGTATTTGCCCAACTATTGGTTCCAAACAGCTCATGTCAGGACTTTTTAATGGTCCACTTCCCCATACCCTTGTTTCTCAGCCAAACATTACTACCAGCCCCCTTAACAACCAGTGCTAATAAAGAATTGTAAACATGTAAAGCCCACCACTAACTAGCATTGCTCACTTAGTTTCTGCAGTGTCTTATGTTGTTCAGTGGTCCT